TTGTATGAACTGATGCTGAGTGAAGTGAGCAGAACCAGAACACTGTACACAGTAACAGCCATGTTTTGCAATGACTAACTTTGATAGACAGCTCTTCTCAGCAATGTAAGGATCTAAGACATCTCCAAAAGTCTCATGATGAAAAATGCTATCCACATCCAGAGAAAGAACTATGGAGTTTGAATGCAGGTCAAAGTAAACTATTTGCTATTTTTTTGTTTTGTTTTTTCTCTTCTTTCTTGTGGTTCCTCTTATGGGTTCTAATTCTTCTTCACAATATGACTAATGTGAAAATATGTTTAATAGGAATGTACAGGTATAGCCTATATCAGATTGCGCACCATCTTGGGGATGGAAGGGGGAAGGAGGGGGAGAAAAATTTAAAGCTCAAAAGCTTATGGAAGTGACTGTTGATAAATCAAAATAAAATTTTAAAAAATGATTGTTGAAAAGACCACAATGGAATAGAAACCTTGAAATACAAACATAAGAGTCAAGATAAACTTAAAAAGGTAAATTTATCTGAGCAATTGGAAAAGATTGTATAATAATTAAATGCTAATATTCTAACAGAAGAAACAATCATCCTTTAGAACCTTATGTCTTCAAATGATACTGAATAAGCTGAATAAGAAACACAGAAATCTTGGGGATAGAATGGTTCTGTTTTGAGAGTCTTAAGAGAGGAAAGAGAAAGAACATAAAAGGAATATATTGGTATAGAAAGGAGGGAGTGAAACTGCTAATATTCATAACTGGAGTATAGCAGAAGAGTATACAAACTTTAAAAGGGGGTGAGGAAGTCAACATTGGATGAATCTCACTCTTACCTAAAATGACCAAAGGAGGGCTGAACACACAGAGTTTGGGGTAGAAATACTTCAAACAACAGGTAAACAGGATCAGGGAGAAGAGGGAATACTAGAGAGGACAACAAGCAAAAACAGACTTCCTAAACGTGAACATAAAATTCATGTGCAAACAAAAGAGATTATTTCAAAGAATACTGAGTAGTTTAATGAACTGACACACAGGGAAGTAAGCAAAACCCAGAGAACGGTTTATACAAGAACAACACTAAAGAAAAACAACCTGAAAACCTTTCATGTGTCCACCAACCATGTTTCCAAAGAACCTATAATGAAGTATGTTACCCACCTTCAAACAGAGAAGTGACAGACACAAGGTGCAGAGACATAAACTTTTGGACATGACCTCACCACATGAATTCGATTTGCTTGAAAATGCTTATTTGTTTAAAAAAAAAAAAAAGGAGTAGAGAATTTTCCCTCTTTCTTTCCCTAGGTTAATTGGGGAAGAAGAGGTGGTAATAGTGATGCCAAAAAGAAGAGGATCATTGTAACTATTTTTTAAATGCACAGAAGAAAACAGAAGGAAGTTCAGAAGGAAGCACATACAAACAGGACAATTTTTAAAATAATGTGATTATATACTTTTTTTAAAGCAAGCAGTGTGAAATGAAGATTAAATTTCATGTATAATCTTCCCTTTGTGCACTGCTGTGTGTACAGAAATGATCTTTTTTGGTATTTAAATTCAGAATTTTAAAAACAAGAAAAACATTAAATAATATTATGACAATGTCTTAATCTGAAGTACAACACTGAATCAATTTTGGGGAAAAGTCTTAATTTCCTGAAACTAATATCATTGGAGAAATCAGTCTTGTTTACGGAGATCAAACTAAATTTTATTTTGTTGTTTAATGTCTTTTTTGTTTAATCCAACTAAGAGTGTTATCTTTTTGTTCTCCTTTGAGCAGAATGAAAGGGGAATCCTTAGTGGGAATAGTTAAGGAAGAATAATTGGTTTCAGGAAGGTATTTCCTCCAAGGGTGTGCCAATATTGTTCCATCTAGTCAATCAAAACCAAGTGTAAACTATATATCTTTGTTTTACTTTGCTGTGGAGTTTCATCTTTTGTTTCACAATTACTATAATATGTAAGTTGGAAGTTGCTTGGGGAAGAGAGGGTACTCTGATTAGCAAGAAATTTACCTAACCTCTCTCCAAGCAGAAATGATTGCATTTTTTAAAAATTGTCTCTGAAAGGTTTTGGCTACAACTAAAAGTATGAATTGTTTTCTTCTACAGACTGAAAAATAGTCACTAGATTTGATCATTAAAAGGTCAATGGGGACTGCCAAATAATTTCCGTAAAGTAACAAGAGCAGTGAGACTACAAGTAGCTAAAGAATAAATGGTAATCAGGAGTAGAAACACTGGGCGGCAGCTAGGTGGTGCAGTGGATAGAGCACCGGCCCTGAAGTCAGGAGGACCTGAGTTCAAATTCAGCCTCAGATACATAACACTTACTAGCTACGTGACCCTGGGCAAGTCACTTAACCCCACTGCCTAGCCAAAAAAAAAAAAGAAATAGAAACACTGGATACAGAAAACTTGGGTTTGTTTGTTTTAAGTTTAGCTGTCAAAGTGAAGAAGCTAGCTACTGAACAGGAGAATTAAAGGAATTTTTTTATTAAGGACTAAGGAGATGAACATTTTTACAAACAGATGGGAGTCAGTGATGAGGGATAAATTAAAGAGGCATTACTGCTTGAGCAGATACTTGGAGAAGGCAGAAAAGGACAAGTTCAAGAATATACATAGAGTAATTGACTTAACGAGTAAGGAGTAAGTAACCTCCTTTGAGACAGAAGGAAAGAAAAGAATGGGAAATTATGCTAGGAAGTTTTATGAGGGCTGAAGGAGCTCAAGTGAGATGACTTCAATCATATTGGAGAAACAGAAAGATACAGCATGTGCTTTACGTGTATAGGGAATGGAGAAATCAGGGATCTTAAGAAAGAAAAAGTTTGGAATAGGTACTATACAAAATGAGAGGAATGAATTAGAGTAGGACTACAAAACAGTTATGAGGGCCTGAGGTTATACAGCATCAAGTTACAACCATACCCTACAGCAATATCATGAAAACTCCACTGGCGGGGGGGTGGGGGGGGCGGTAATCATTTGGCCCAAAGCTTATTTATAAAATTATTCCTATGGAACTATCCCCTATAATGTTATCTTACCTAATGACGTTACGTTTTCTAAGCTGTTAAATAAAGAGTTACACTAATACTCAGAAAAGCAGTTTTATGGGAAAGTGAGAAAAGCAAAGGTCTGAAAGATCTGGGTTCTTATTATAACTCCAATGCTTTCTAGATTTCTGACCATGAGAACAATTCTATGTCCTCCTATGAGTCTCACCAAAATGAAGATAACTTGTACTATGCACCTCAAAGGGTGTTCTGAGGAAACGTGCTTTATAAACCATAAAGAACCATAGAAATGAGTTATTATTAATTCATTTTCTGATTTGAGTGCCAAGTAAAGGCTAGTTTATAAATTTGTTAACTGTCCTTCCCTATTATAACTATTAACTATCTTTAGGGTCATGGTATTTATACTTTTGTGAGTAAATAGTAGCTAGTCTTACTCAGCTACTGATATGAAAAATCATTTTTACCTTAAGGTTTTTGCAACTCTTCATCAAGTATTTCACATCATAAATAGATGGGAAGAAGAGGTTCAAAATATGGAAGAATTCATGCTCTTCTTCTGGTAATCGCGAATCAGTTAGCAGCTTTACCATGTAGCCAAAATCATAACCACTGCATGAGAGGAATAAATCACGGCAGTTAAACAAACGGCAGAGGTCGGAACCTGTCACTCTGCCTCTCACAATTTATAATACAAAAAACTAAGGCCTATTTTTCCAAATTTCCAAAATATTCCAATTTTTTCAGTTAAACTAACTAAACTCCAAAGTGAATAATCACATAATAGATCATTAGAAAAAGTTACAGAAAAAATACTAAAATATTTCCTAAGTCTAGATTTTATATAAAATCAGAAAATACCCTCTCTCTAATGAAGGGACAAATGACTTCACGGTTCAATTAAAATAATGGCAAACAAGACATAATACGCTACCTTAGAATGGCAATACCCCAACCTTCTCACTCTCCTAGAATTACATAAACTGATGATTATCAAATGTCTTGGGAAATCACCTATCACAGGCCCAATTTTTTCCTTAAACTGACAAAAGCTAAGGATATTCAACAAGTCAATATCCAATTCTAATCGTTACTGATGACTGAAACAGAGAACAACACATATCAAATTCGTTACTATACTAAGACCTAGTGAGCTCATTATTTATTTAGGCTCTTTCTAGGACTGACCTGTGAAATGAAAGCCATTTGACGTTGTCACAGAGAACTACCCCTGAGGTCATGAGCAGTTCTGCAAAGTGCAAAGTGTCAATACCTTCCTCTTCATGCTTCTGGAACTGTAACCCTGAGTTAGCAAGGAGATCTATAGAGTCCTGGGAATACATGTCCTCTCTAAAAAAGTAAGGCATTCACTTATAAGTGATGTAAAATTACAGCTGTAATTTTAAAACATCAACAGTATTATACATACAGAAGAAAATTTTTCTAAAATGATATTTGGGGGTCAGGTAGGTGGCGCAGTGGATAGAGCACCGGCCCTGAAGTCAGGAGGACCTGAGTTCAAATCTGGCCTCAGACCAAACACTTGACACTTACTAGTTGTGCGACCCTGGGCAAGTCACTTAACCCCAATTGCCTAAAAATAAAAAAAATAAAAAAAATAAAATAAAATGATATTTGGAAGGCTGCTTTGGGGTGCTTATGTTTTTTTAAAGGTAAAATCAACTTCACCAACAGACCTGAAGTACATAACAATAATTCTCTCTGAGACAAAAGACACATTCACAAACAATTTGTTAGTTAATCTAGATATCAGAGCAGTCATGAAATAAGCAATGGAATTAAGTTTCTGACTCTCACTTCAAGATGCACTGTCCTCTTCCTTTCATTAGGTTTGTATACTTGTACTCGGATTTGGACTGGACCTCAGAATACAATGGTACAAGGGACTCCTAGCAAGAAAATTCCCTCTACCTATATGAATCAGCGTCTGCTCTTCAATTTCTAGTCTTGGAGAGTGGCTGTGGGGTAGCAGAGGTTAAATGACCCAAAGTCACAGTCAGTATATGGGTCAGAAAGGAGACCAGAATCAAGATCTTCCCAGGATTTGGTAAGCTCTCTATCCATTATGTCATACTGCCTTTAAAACTCAGACTAGACTAACAAAATAAAGTCACTAGATTAACTATCGATACATACAAATGATTTACAGTTTTCCCCTCATCTACCAAAAATTAGTACTGCATTGCAATTGATTGTTCCACCTATGTAGCTTCGATATAATGTAAAAAGCACTGGATTTGGATTCAGGAGATTTGGGTTCATATCCTAGCTCTATCAGTACCTTCACAACATTGAACAAAAGTCATTTAACCCGAGGGGATTTTAGTGCATACATTTATGAGGGTGCTAGACTAGATGAGTGGTATCAAACTTAAATAGAAACAGATCCCTCCAGCTGCATATTAACTTAGAAAACCACAAATTACATTATCTATGTTGTACTACATTTTTATTTATTTTGTTCAATATATCCCAATTACATTTAAAATCTGGTTTTGGCTACACTAGAGGTTTTACATGAGCTTGACATCTATGGACTAGATGACCTCTGAAGTCTCTTCCAGCTCCACATCTCTAAGCTCCCTTCCAGCTCTAAGCCCTACAAAATCTTATATAATTATTAAAACACACTCTACTCTCCTTTTCTCTTTATAGTTTTCATCTTGTCAGAAATCATAAGCTTTTTACCCCCAAGTTATTCAAAGCCCTCTCTATCTTCAAGAAAACTCCCAAGTGTTTAAGAACTTATTCCCAAAGTCCTTTTCCCCATTTAAATAATAGAGATTTGAATATGACTATGGCCTTAATGTCCTTCTAAAACAGACCAGACCATTACAATAATCTGTCAGGTTGTCTACTTTTAAAAACTGCATCATAAATTTCCCAGCAAAGAAGTCATAATTTCAGCCTTTTCTGCTGGGATCTTTATTTTCTGATGGTCTATACTCCTTTATCTCTCACACACACACACACACACACACACACACACACACACACACACACACACAC